GCTCTCAGTTTTTGACATTAAAAAGGTAACAACAACAACAACAACAAAAAACTGCAACAGTGTTTACTGGAAACCACTTAAAATTAACCCTAAAGGAAAAACTCATGAAGCAAAAGATAATAGCAAAATTATACCAGGCAAATGCAAACAAAAAGGGGGAAAGGGTGAAGTGACTGACCTTGAACAAGGCAGAATTTTCTTTTTTAGAATTTATTTATTATTTTAGAGAGAGAGCATGAGCAGAGGGAAGGAGGGGGGGGGGAGAGAGACTCTAAAACAGACTCTCCACCGAGCGTGGAGCCGGACGTGACATCCTGACTTGAGCCAAAATCAAGAGTCGACCCTTAATCGACTGAGTCACCCAGGCGCCCCCTTAACAAAGTAGAATTTAAGATGAAAAGCATTAAGCAAGATAAAGAGCCACATTATAATGAGAACAGACAATTTATAAAGAAGACCTAATAGTCATCAGCTTACAGATACCTGTTAACAAGGCAGCAAATAATATAAAGCAGAAATGATTAAAGTCGCCAGCATACCTGATTAAAAATACGGCCATACAGGAAGGTTGCAATAGACCTTTCTAGCCAGGCAGTCCTTGTTAAGTCAATTTGAAGACGAAGTCAACCGAATCCAAAAATCAACTCACCTCATTTAATAGTTACAACACAAAGCTCATATCCCTCCAATAGACACAATAGGCATTACTTCATGTGTACACCCAGAACACTGAGAAAATAATAATCGTTTGTTTTTCAAGATTTTATTTATTTATTTGAGAGAGAGAGACACAGCAAGAGAGGGAACACAAACAGGGGGAGTGGGAGAGGGAGAAGCAGACTCCCCGCCGAGCAGGGAGCCCGATGCGGGGCTCGATCCCAGGACCTTGGGATCATGACCTGAGCCAAAGGCAGACGCTTAACGACTGAGCCACCCAGGCGCCCCTGACAAAATAATAATCGTGTACTTAACTTGGTCACAAAAAAAACCACGTTCTTGGATCACAATCCACAAAATTAGAGAGAATTAAAGGGAGTTTAATTGTAAGTGCCAAATCGTAAGTGCTTGAAAGTCCCGAATAACCTTCAAAATGGAAATAAAAACCAGAAGTAACAGTCTCCGGAACTGGTAAAGCACCGATAAAGTGAAAAACAAAAGCCTCTAAGGCCCAATAAAAACCACAGAGAAAATTTACCATCAGCAGCACATCTGCCGAAAAGATGAAGTCCCAGGGCTCCTTTATGGATTGGGGGTCGTGGGGGGGGGGGCAGTCATTGGTTTTCACAGGCTCTTGCTTTTTCTCAATGAAAGTTGCATAAGTAAGGTGTTTTTATATCCTCCTTCTTGAGGAGCCTCTCCCTATACTCGTCCCCAGTGACAGAAGTTGCAGTCCCCACAAAACTTGGATCCGTCCTGTTGGTTAAAATGCCTTTAGGGTGCCTGGGCGGCTTGGTGGGTTAAGCGCTGGCCTTCGGCTCTAGTCACATAATCCTGGGACCCTGGTATCAAGCCCTGCATTGGGCTCCCTGCTTGGCGGGGAGCCTGCTTTTCCCTCTCCCTCTGCCACTTCCCCCTGCTTGTGCTCTCTGGCTCTCTCTATCTCTCTGTCAAATAAATAAATAAAATCTTTAAAAAAATAAAATAAAATAAAATATGCCTTTAGAATTCTAATAGCATAGGCACCAGAAGGATGGAGCTCCCCAGCTGCCCATGTCTCTCTCCAGAGAACTGGAGTACTCCTTTTGACGATGACAAAATTCTCCCCCAAACCCACAGGGACAGGGGGTGGTACCAACCACCACTGAAACCTATATGCTGGAGTCGGAGCTTGCCCAGGCCAGAAAATAAAAAAATGAGGCTGGATTTTTTTTCAACCGTCTCAACAGGTTCCAAAATCCCACCATTTCAGTCAAACCTCAAGGGGGGGGGGGGATGCTCTCTTTGGAAGCAAGGCTCTTGCTGAGGCCACATGGAATAAACTCGGTTTTAGAATTTATAGCTAGGAGCACGGAGCCAAGATGCTGGCAGCCAGAGAGAGCTGGGGGAGGGGTGTCTATGTGCAGCCTGCCCCTTTCCAAGGAGGTGAGCTGGTGACTGGTGACTTCCAAGGCTCAGCTTCCTCATTTCATCCTCCTGGAGATGCTGACGACTGGCTGAGACAGGACTATTCTTCAATATTACTGCCCTCCGCTACCCTAGGCCTGTCTCTCTAGGGAGTTCTCGAACGCTGGGCCTGACCCTTGTCTGAGTACCATGTTGAGAAGTTGGGCCATCTTTTGAAGTTGCCTCCCTAGGAGAGTGAGGGGGTGGCTGTGCAATGCATTTGTCCCCGGGAGAAGTGAGAAGTGGCCCGAGGCCCCACGCCACTGGGCAGAACCGGGACGGGTTTCTGAGCTCGCCCGGGGCTCGCGCTGATGGGGATGGACAAGCTTGGGAAAGAATGCCTTTTCTCTTCGCCAGAGGCTCCCCTAAATGTGCATCATGAGAGGGAAGGGGAATGCTCAGATTGGGTGAGTCAAAACATAATGCATTAAACCATTTGCCTCCACAGAAACGCATTCTAAGGAAATTTGACAAATGTCATATGAACACAGGGGCACTCCTATCAGTACTAGGTCTGATCGGGAAATATGGGGACCCAACATGCCAAACCCTGAGAAACAGTGAACCGAACTGTGATACTTAAAGCACTATCCACCAGAGGGTAGGATTCAACGCTGTACAACCACCTGGAGCTTTAAGATTGTACTCGCACGTTTATTCGCTTGCAAATGGGAACCAGAGCCTGCTACACACAAGGGACTGTGTGGGCCACTTTGATACAATGATAACCCGAACTACAGAGAAGTCAAGGCGGAGCAACAAACACACAGGTGATGCCCCAGCGATTGCACTCCCGGACGTACACATGCAGACGTGAACAAAAACGTTCAAAGCCGGACGGCTGGTAAGAGCCCACAACAGAGTGCGTAAACGAACTGTAAACTCCTCTTACAACGTGAGGGGTTTTGACGACGAAGTGGAGCAGTCCGCCAGGGTGGAGATGCCACGGAAGGACATCAGTGGACATCCCACACGGCCGACCCATCCTGTGCGCTCTGCACAAACTTGCGGGGATTTCTGGAGAATCACCAAATAACTGAAGAATCCATCAATGTGGAACTCGAGGTGCTTCCCTTGATGATCAAGCCAACCTTTTCCAGGTCAGCCTCAGATCAGTTTCAGAACCCACGGAGGGAAGGAGCTGGTTCCCCCCACCCCCACCCATCATGCTCTCTTTCTTTACCAGATCCCTGCTTTTGGTTTTTATGGACCATAGTCAACAGCCAACAGATAACAACAACGTCTGCCTGTCTGTCTCTCACCCATGGACACTTAAACATCTGTGCAGAGAACTTTTTGTGTCCCAGTTGTTTGAGGGTGTTAGAAGTCGGAATACCACTCCCTTCTGGAAAGGAGGGAGACAGTGATGCTGGAGAGAGACACCAGGGGGTAGGGGAGGGCCGGGAAATTTCTATGTCTTCATCTGGGTGATAGTTATAGGAGTGTGTATGCGTTATGATAATTCATTAGACATTTGTGATGAATGCATTTTGCTGTATATATGTCATACTTCCATTAAAAAAAAAAAAAACTCTTATTTTAGCAACAAATTCAGGAGCTAATAGGAAACATGGAAACTGTAAGTAACCAGAGCGTGTTGCCACTTTCTGAGGGAAGGAACACACAGCCCGAACGACAGGCATGCACGGGCACGTTCGCAGTTTTTCCAGAAGGACTCCGCTTTTGTAGGTATCCCTTGGCTCTCCCGCCCTATTGTCGCTTTTCCCTCTGGAGAGGGGATCATCTGAATCCTAACTGGCTCATCTGGATGCTAACATGTTCTATCTTGGCATTTCTCGGCGGCCGCATCTTTACCGGCAGCTCTCGATGGAGCCCGTGACCCACTGGCCCGTCTTCAGCCTGGTGTCTCCTCCACCTGTCACCGCGGCTTCCGTGCTCTCCAAGCGCATGCAGAGGCAGGCCCCCCGGGGTGACCCTCCAGCCCGATGGCCACTCACCCACCCTTCACAGTGCGTGACACCGCTGGGCCACTGGCTTCCTGCAAGGGCGTCCGTTTGTGCGTCCGTGAGCCACAGGTAGCTGGTGTTCCTGCTACCTCCCCAGCTGCTGCACCTTGCTTTCTTGGCTGGCCTCTCTGCTCAGTCGCCTGATGTTGGGGGGAGCTGCAGGGCTTGGGGGCAGGCTCTCCACTTTTCTGTCTTCCCAGTTTCCCTAGGCTTTCGATGCCATCCATGTGCTGACGGCTCTCAACTATTTACCCCCTCTCCTTGGTTATCATCCCGACTTGGATGCATCATCCCGACTCGGATGTCTTACAGGAGTCTCCAAATGACCGTGTTGAAAAATGTTTTGGTTTCCCTCCAAAACTGACCTTACTCGAACCTGCAGTCCTGGCCACCTTGTTAGACGCTCAGCATAGAGTCCACCCTGATGCCCACCCCCCCGCAGCAAATCCCGTGAGCTCTAGCTTCCAAGGCACCCAGAATCTGACCGCCTCCTACCCAGCGCTGGAGTGCCAGCCTTACTCTCTGGCCGGGACAACCACTGTCAGCCCTCCACCTGGCCTCCCACCCTTGTCCCTGCCCCCCTGTGATGGGGACATCTAACAGGGTGGGGCGCCCCCTGCCTGGAAAACTTGCCCCTCTGATGATCTACCTCTTCCCCCTCATCCCTGCTTCTCATCACGCCATTATCTGCATTGATTCATTCACATGTCGTGCTCCCCATTAGACAGAAAGCTCTAGGGAGCTGAGAGGGAATGCACCTGTGGCTGGAGGGCGGGGGATGGAGGGGCGGAGCTGAGGGCCGGTCACAGAAGACTGGCACTTTACACCCAAAGCCGCGAAGTACCAGCACTTTCAGAGAGCTGAGGAGTAATGGTCGTCACAGAAAAGGAAAATCGAAGCAGGCAATCTGACCGACGCGACAGGACGTACCCTTTTCCTGATCGGAGAGGCTGGTGGTGAAGATGGGAGGGTCCAGCTCCTGGGGCCGGGAGGGGCCGGGGCTGGAGCTCCAGGACAGCAGGCTTCCCCGGGCACTGCTGTGATCACTCTCCAGCCGAAGGAGCCAGTGATCAGAGAAGGAGGAACTGGTAGAGCCTGCAGGGAAGCACACAGAGGAGGCTGGACCCAGCCCCACCTGGTCGGGGTCCCCCGAGGAGCCTCTTGCAGCCAGACTCCCACCCCTGAGGCCCTGGGACTGCAGAACCAGAGCAGAGGGACATAAACAAAAGTTGGGACCAGAGGAGAAACCCCACAACGGCTTCACCATGTGACCAAGTGAAAACGTAGGGAAAGGCATTCGGGCACAGAGAGGTCAGGGCGTTGGTGAGTACTGAAATGCGTCTCCTGACGTTAACTTGCCACGACTCGGGTTTTCTAAATAGGCTACGTTTTTGACTCATTCATTCCGTGTCCTACAAAAGGCAGGCAGGCTTCCCATTAGGGTCGATTTAGACCTCTTGGGGCATTGTGGTTTAATTTGGCCACCTTCCAATAATTATTAGGAAGAAAATAGGAGTATCTAAAAAAAAAAAAAAAAAAAAGCTCTCTCCTTTCAAAAAAAAAGGAAAGGATTGTGAGTAAAATGCATCACATAAGAAGGTCAACTTTGACCTCCCCCCTCTTTTTTCCCCTCCAGACTTCCAAGTTTGAGGCTGTTTAGTGAACATGTCACTGGGTATGGTCAAGCTGCTAAGTTTCCCGCTGAGGCCCCCCCGTCCCTAACCACCACCCCGCCCTTTCTAACAGGACGAATGCAGGTGTGTGCAGAAGCGTAACTGAAGTCTGGCTTGAGGGGCGCCCGGGTGGCTCCGTCGGTGGAGCATCCGACTCTTGGTTTCGGCTCGGGTTACGCTCTCAGGGTCGTGAGCAGGGGCCCCGCGTCGGGCTTGGCACTCAGCGCAGGGGTCTGCTTGGGATTCTCTCCCGCGCCTCCCACTCATGCTCTCTCTGTCTCTGTCTCTAAATATAAAGAAATAAATCTTCTAAAAATATTTTAAGTCTGGCTTGATGAGAGACTGGAAACCTGAAATCCCCAAACCGCCAAGAGTCACCTGCGACACAGTATTATTCCTTTCCCCGCCTTGGGTTTCACCGTGTCCATCATCCCACCCTACGAATGGGACACTCGCCTGTTGTACCCAAATCTCCACGCTGCAGGAAGAGCGCCCCGCTCCAGATCGCATGCCTCCTCTCCTGGTCCCTGTTGTTCGACTGAGTACCTCCCAGCTTCCCTCCCCTTACTGAGAGGTAGCACCTACCTCTCAGGGAGCTGCTGGCTGACCAGAGAGGGATGCTGTTCCGTTTCTGATAAAATAGGATGTAAGCCCCTCGGCTATTGACCTCATCCTCTGGGAGCGGCTCTACCGTGCTGTCATCATAACTGTACCACCGGCCATCCAGAGAGTTCCGGCAGTAGGCTGCAAAGGTCCAAACCCCAAGTGCCAATTACTGGAGGCCCCCCGCTCCCCCCCCCAAAAAAAACCCCAGAAAGGCATTTCTCACGAGCAGAGCTGAAAAAATGGACGTGTCTGTAACAGAATGAGAAAAATCGGTCCATTTCTGGCCAGAACTAAATTTTGCAGAATCCGAAAGATCAATCCGTTTTGCGCCCCGGGCCTTACGAAGTGTGCTGTGACTTTAGCTGAGTCCTTATGTGGCAGCCCTTATTCAGGCAAAGTCTCCAATAACAGGGAGCCCTAAGTTATTTAGCCAGACAATAATGTCCACGTTCACATGGCTCCTTGAGAAGTTTCGAAATGCACCTTCTCTGATTCAGTGTGTGATAAAAACAAACTCATTTGGGATTGTGGTGCGCTTCTTTCCTGCCTAAGAACCGAAGCCAAACATTTAAGGAAAAGCCCATAAATAAGATTCTCGCCACCTTCTAAGCAATTATGACAAAATACTCTCCTTTCCCTCCACATCTCAGTGAATGGTGCCATAACCCACTAACCCCGAGTCAGCCCACTTTTCTGTAATGAGCCACAGAGCAAATATCTTAGACTTTACAGGTCACGTATGGCCACAGACTGTCTCTGACATAGATTCTCCTTGTTCTTTTCTTTTTTTTTTTTTACCACCGTTTAAAATGTAAAAACCATTTTTAACTCGTGGGCTGTATAGAAACAGGTGCCGGACTGGATCTGGCCTGCGGGCCATAGTTTGCTGAGCCCTGTGCTACTCCAAACCAGGCACGTAGGAGCTCATCTCTGCTCTTCCCTGCCCCCCACCCCGGCCATGCCCCAGTCCAAATGCCAGTCTTCCTGATTCTACTTGCTAAATGCATGTCAAATACCCTGATTTTCCCCTCCTGAGCTCCAGCCAACACCATCTCTCATTTGAGCCCCAGAAATTTCCTTGAACTGGAATTCCAACTTCCACCCTTGTTTCCTTCTACCTGGTTTCCAGAAGAGAGCTACACCCTCAATGTGTGAACTAGATTATGTCTTCGGTGCTCTGCCTAAAGCCTTTCACTGGCTTCCCGTTACCCTTTGGAAGAAATGCAAACTCTCATCCATGGCCTCCACGTAGTACTCACCTCTCCAGCCTCATCCGTGTTACTTAGGCCTGGGTCACTATACTTCTGCCATGACAGGCTTTCATCATTTCTTAAATACACCAAACTCTGCCCCAGGGCCTTTGCACATGCTGGTAGCTCTTCCCATCATGGTCCTCCTCCCATTATTCACCCAGCTAGTTCCTTTAGCTCTTGGCATACAGGTGCCTTCCTCAGAGAGAGAGGGCTTATCTCTAGCACAGACAGGGTCAGTTGAATACCCTTTATAATGCCAGGCAGTGAATGAGCTAAAGCGACAAGTATCTTGTCACTGTGTGTGTCCCCATAAGGCCAGCACTCCTGTCTGTCTTGCTCATCACAGAAGCTCTGGCACCACACACAGAGTCTACACAGAAGGGGTACTTGCCCCCGCCCCCTGTTCTCTGGCAGGTGCCTGGTGTGTGATGAGGGGTGTGCACATGCCCAGGGCCCCGAGGGAGCTCGGCATTCCCGGGGCATCTTCAAGCTCGGGCCACGGTCACGACGCATGACCACGGCAGCCACGAGGCGAGAGGCAAGGCTCACCTGTGTAATGCCCACCTTGCAGACTGCCGTGGTGGTTGCAGACGGCATATAGGTCGTATAGGAAGTCCAGCGGGTAGCCGGCAGGGAGGCAGGCCGGGGGCTTCCAGGGGGGCCAGGGGCCCGTCACAGGCGGGGGGCTGGTGCTTCTCTGGGCCACGTGGGGAGCCATGTTGAGGCCAGAGAGCGGAAACTTCACCAGCGTGGACAGCTTGTTCCTTCTCTCGCCCACTTGACAGAACCTCTTGAGGTGGATGATGAGGATGTCCGGCAGGGTCCACAGGCTCAGCTTCACCATGCCCTGCTGGAGGGCCTTGCAGTGCGGACACTTCCACGCATCGTCCTGAGCCAGCTGGAAAGGAAGCCACGGGGACCGTGAGCTGGCCCGCCCCGCCGCACCATGGCTAACCCACCAGTCCCAGCCCGGGGGCGTGGACCCTCCGGGCACCACCTGCTCCTCCTTGGTGTAGAACTGAAAACACTCGTCCAAGGTACAGCTGTGCTGCTGGTGGACCCACCGCTGCTGCCACACACTGTCTGCGTCCTGCACCCGCTCCTCCTGGAGGCTCCCGAACAGGCTGCGAGGAGAGGGGACCACGGGCATCGAGGCTTCTCGCCACCGAGGGGGCTCCCACCTGGACTCCGCACGGCACGCGGGTGGGAAGGCATCCACCAGGGGAGGCAAAGCTGCCCCGCCTGGCGCCTCGGCTGCACTCGGGCTCCCGGAAATCCCGCTCTCGCCCACCAGCTCCCGGAGGGACCCCGCGCTCGGTCGATCCGCCTCGGCTTCCTCATCCAGCGCGGGGCCCGGGACCCCGCAGGGGACTCGTGAACACTTGCTGGACTGAACGGGGTCCTTTTTACAAAGCAGGGCCACATGCACTCGGGGTGATAGGCACAGCCATGCTGAGCACCTGAGAGTGTGGACTTGAACCAGACAGCCTGGGTTCGAATCCCGGCTCTGGCACGCGCACGAGCTGTGGGGCACTGAGCAATCGTGTAACCTCCTCTGTGCCTCGGTTTCCACATCTGGAAACTGGATTATGGTAGTGCCGACCTCACGGGGCGGGACCAAGAGGAAATAGACTGCATCTATGCGATGTGCTCAGAGCCGGGAGCAGGTCGGCGTCACCTAAGTGGTTACTACTCTTACCGCCACCGCTCCTCACACCATGCAGCACGGTCATGATCACGGTCACTATTGTTTACATACAGACACTTGTCATTAGGGTCTCTCAGAGGCAGGGACCACATGGCATCAAGGAGGTGTGCATACTGCCTTAGGCATGTTGGGGGACCCTGGGCATGGGAAGATTTATTTGTACAGGCAGGCCCCAGTCTCCTCCGCAGGAGCCCCATTCTGTTGAACTCACCGCTCCTTGGCACAGCTGTCCCACTCCACGGCCAGTTTGACGTGGGGGGGGCCCCCTGGCCTCCTGAGGTGCAGAGCCCTGAGGGGAGAGAACATGGAGCCCATCAGAAAGCACGGGGCCTCCTTCCCACAGCTCTGCCTCCAAGCCCAGGGCCGATGTCCCAAACACAAGTGCCCGAACTAAGGGTGAACTAAGGGTAAACCAAGGCCGGGCGGACAGACGTGTGACCAGAAGGACCGTGGCCTGGGGGAGGCCCTCCTTCAGCGTGGTCCACTTTCCGGGGCTTCTCAAACTACCTACGATGAAAGACCCATCTGTTGATCGGTTTCTAAACCACTAGAGACGGATCCTTTGGCAAAATACAATAAAAATAATGGGGGGACAATATAAAAGTCCAATTTAAAAATTATTATAATTTTAGATTATAGATAATTTAATATATACCTATATACTGTAGATAATATATATTCATCATATTTTCAATTGCTCTGTCCTATTGCCTTAACACACCTCAGTGCTTCCTCTCAAGTTCTGTCATGGGCCAGGGACAATGAGCGGTCAGGTGGGCATCAGTCTGTGGAATTCGCTTTGAAGCCAGAGTGCCGTGAGGGGGGCCCCTCTCAGAGCTCCCCAAACCCCTGTGCTCGCCTTTCCCATTAGACTGAAGCAGGATGAGCCAAAGTTTCTCCAGCTTCCCTAACTCTGTAAAGTGGCTCCCAAGCAAGAAGGGTGCTTTGGGCTTACGCCCTACCCTGCTGGTTCCTGTTTTTTACAAAGTAGAGGGGTCCATCGTTACCATGATCCTGACACCTATTCGGATTCTGACACCAATTCCAATGTGTGCTTTCTGTCAACACCACCAAGCAATCATCTCAATTCCAGCATCATCTACCAGAAGGCTAGCATCAGATTCCCACAGGGGAAGGGCTTCATCCTACAGGACTGCCCCTTCCCACTTTATAGACACCAACTGCAAGCCTGGGTTGTCATCTGGGTGTTCTGACCCCCTGGCTGCAGATGGGAGGCTCCAGGGCCCCCTCCTTGGGTTTGATGAATTTGCTAGAGCAGCTCACAGAACTCAGAGAAACATTTCACTTGCTAGATCGCCAGTTTATTATGAAAGGATGTAACTCATGAACAGCCAGATGGAAGAGAGGCAGAGGGTGATGTGTGTGAGGAGGTGTTTACCCACCTGGAGGCTCCCCAAACCTGCCCTTCTGGGTTTTTATGGAGGCTTCATTATACAGGCATGATTGAATTGATGAATCAATCTCCAGCCCCTCTTCCTCCCCTGAGGTCTTCGGGTGGGAAGGATAGTTCCAAGCTTTATCACACGGTTGGTTCCCCTGGCAACCTGGCTCCAACCTTAGGTTCTTTCCAAAAATGACCTCATTAATGTAAACTCAGGTGTGGTTGAAAGGGGTTTGTTAGGGAGAATAAGGCACCTTTATCACGTATCACTAAAAGCATTCCAAGGGTCTTATGAGCTCTGTGCCACAAGACCAAAGACATATTTCTTACTATAAATCATAGTATCACACCTTTGTTAAGGACCCACTTGGCTTTGGCTGGCTGAGCCAGAAAATCAGAGATGTTTATTGACAATTCTGTGTCTGTGGGGAAAATGACCAAAAGTACTAGATAGTTTACAGAGCAAAACCACCTCTCAGATACTCTGCTGCTCGTGTGCATTGCTTGGCAGGGCCGTGCAAGGTGGAAAGCCATGAGGCGGCGGGGGGGGGGGGGGCACACTGGCGTTACCCCTCAATCACAGACACGGTGTTCTACAGCTTGAACCAAAGACTCCGTGGCAGAATTCTCCCCTACCCCAGATGGGACATTCAGGTGGAATTCAGCGGCATGAGCTCACCGAATGAATTTGGGTTTCCCGGTCAGACAGAAATGGGTTCAGATTCAGGCTGGGCCATCAGCTACCTAACTAAGTCGGAGCAAGTTAGTGGAGGCCAAGTGGCTCCATTAGTTAAGCATCTGCCTTTGGTTCAGGTCATGATCTCGGGGTCCTGGGATCGAGCCCCGCTTCAGGCTCCCTGCTCAGTGGGGCGCCTGCTTCTCCCTCTCCCTCTGCCCCTTCCCCCTGCTCATGCTCTCACTATTAAATAAATAAAATCTTTAAAAAAAAAAAAAAGTTTGAGCAAGTTAACCCATCTCTGGGAACTTCAGTGTCCCCTCATCTTCGAGATGGCCATCACAGCACCTCCCTAGACGTAAGGGTTGAAAGCACAGAATGTGTCTAAGGATCTAGCACACCGGGAGGCAAGTAACCGGGAGTAGATAGGGGGATAATCAACGTACAGACACAGGACCGCCAAGGACTCCAGTCAAAATACAGTGACACCTGTTCTCTTAACAAATCTGGAACGTGCCCCCTTACCTGTCCACTGCCCAGTGACAGAGGGGACGGCTGTCCTGTGGGGATAAGTAGCCGCAAGCCAGAGAAAGCCCCACAACCCGGACGGAGAACAGAGATCCCGGGTTCTGACGAGACATCAAACAGAGACAGTGGGTCAGCATCGTGTTGACTGCACTGAGGCTCTCAAGGGCAAATAAGTTAGTCAAAGACTGTCCTCCTTTTTGTTGATGGTGTATTTTGAGTATGCCCTTAAAAAATATTAGTATTCAAAACCTGCAGATATAAAGATTTTTTTTCTTTTTTAACAAGATGCACACTGTAGGGGCGCCTGGGTGGCTCAGTCGGTGAAGCGTCCGACTCTTGATTTTGGCTCAGGTCGTGATCTCAGGGTCAATGGGATCAAGCCCCAAGTCAGTCTCCGCACTAGGCATGGAGCCCGCCTGAAATTCTCTCTTCCTCCCTCTGCCCCTCCCGCGCCCAAAAAAGATACATGCTACACCTTTCAACATAGCAATCTAACACTGTTTAACATATTAAATTAATAGATAATTTACCTACTTTAAGATGATTATCATCATCATCACCAAATGGCCAAAATGAGGCGAGTATCTAAAAGGAAGCTAGTGTCTCTTTTACATACCAAATGCTTCAGAAGTATTTATATGCTTAAAAAAAAAAAAAAGCCACATACGGAAATATTACCTATGTTTTCATTCTAAGAGGCATGTTCTTTTTCATATTCTAACATTTCTTAAGTTGAAGGGAGCCTTAAACGGCGTTATTCACAATAGTCAAAATGTGGAAACAACCCGAGTGTCCATCAACAGCTGAGTGGATAAACACCTTTGGGTCTACACACACAATGGAGTATTATTCAGCCTTAAAAAGGAAGGAAGTTCTGACATGTGCCCCAGCATGCGTGGACCTTGGAAATACTCTGCACCAGACACAGAAGGACAAACACCGTATGATTCTGCTTCATGAGATACCTACAGTAGGCAAATGCATCGGGACAGAAAGTGGGATGGGGGTGATCAGAGGCCAAGGGCTGGGGGATGGGGTGTTTTGTTAAACGGGCAGAGTTTTCATAGGGATGCTGAAAATTTGGGGTAAGGATATGGTGATGATTTTACAACATCGTGACTATAACTAACATACACTAACAAATGGCTAAAATCAACGTTGTGTATAATTTACCACTACTAAAAATAATCAAGAGTCTTCAAGTAAAATAAATACAGTCCTTTTTTTTTTTTTTTTTTTAAGATTTATTTATTCATTTGAGAGAGAGAGAGAAAGCATGTGAGTGCCTGGCGGGGAGGGGCAGAGGGAAAGGGAGAAAGAATCTCAAGCACGAGCTGAGCATGGAGCCCACGTGGGGGTCGATCTCACGACCCTGAGATCATGGACCTGAGCCGAAACCAAGAATCAGACGCTTAACCCACCGTGCCACCCAGGCGCCCTGCAAATACAGTTCTTAAAATGGTCACTGATGACCCTTAGCTTTAATTAGAAAAACAATGAAATTTCCTTCCAAACTCTGACAACGATAAAAGGTAGACACACCTCTACTTACAAAGCACTGGTGAACTACAGGTTGAATTCAGACAGGGGAGGAGGGGGAGGGCACTGGAATTCCAGGAAAGACCAACAGTGCGTGGGCACGACCCAACCATCCTCAAACAGCCATGACCCGCTCTTCTGGCTGTGACAGCTCACGTGTGCAGGGAGCAAGGGGACACTGGTAAGGTGAATCGGAACCCAGTTGCCTTGAGTGTGAAGTCCAGGGTCCATGCCCGATTAGACCATAACCACACTCCGGTTGACCTACAGCTTCAACAAAGACAAAAGCAGTGGTGGGAAGCAAGCTGCCTCCAGAAGCTTTGATCCAGGGGTGGCCACGGCTCCTTACTTCCTAAGGAGACCGTTTCTTAAATCTGGGGGCGGTGAGGTGGCGGTGGGGGGGGGGGCTTTTTTCCTAACTGAGCCTTGCTGTTTGGACAGCAACATGATCAATACAATCAAGGCACCGATACTGCATGGAGGCAGCTTACCCCGTCTGCACACAAAGCAAGTTTACAATGTGACCACAGAAATGTCTCAGCAGTGATAAATCCCCGTTTTTCAGAATTCAAACAAACTCAATCTGTCTAGCAAGTTGGTCATTTTTGGAAGACATTCTCCTGTCTTCCATCCTTAGCTAGGAAAATGCCTTTTAGGGCCTTCACTACTTTTCATCTCCTCAGCTCCAGGTTGAGAATTCTGAATGCATTCAAATCGTGACCAGACCGAGCCAGGATTTTATATGGTACTTAAAGCATTATGGGTTAAATGGGTGGGCTATCCTAGGAACCCCACAACCATTTAGAACACCTTCCTCCTACAAAAAATCAGGCCACACAATGGAACTGCAGGGTGTTATGCTGAGTGAAATAAGTCAATCAGAGAAAGACATGTATCGTATGACCTCACTGATATGAGGAATTCTTAATCTCAGGAAACAAACTGAGGGTTGCTGGAGTGGTGGGGGGTGGGAGGGAGGGGGTGGCTGGGTGATAGACATTGGGGAGGGTATGTGCTACGGTGAGCGCTGTGAATTGTGCAAGACTGTTGAATCACAGATCTGTACTTCTGCGGCAAATAATGCAACATATGTTAAGAAAAAAGAAGAAGAAGAAGATAGCAGGAGGGGAAGAATGAAGGGGAGTAAGTCAGAGGGGGAGACGAACCATGAGAGACGATGGACTCTGAAAAACAAACTGAGGGTTCTAGAGGGGAGGGGGGTGGGGGGATGGGTTAGCCTGGTGATGGGTATTAAAGAGGGCA